TTTCACTCATAGTGACACTGGGAACAATCTATTATTTAAATGACCTGTCCAGAGCGACCAGACTTTTTACCACAGCAACGCAATTGCCATATCTTTATCTTAGGTTAGGAAAATGCTAGACAGAATTTCAACTTACTCATATTATACCTTTCAGCTTCCACTTTCAACTTTTGACACTTTCAACTTTCAAAAGTTTCACCTTCAGCTTCCACTTTCTATTTTTGACACTTTTAACTTTACAATGCTTCACTTTTCAACTTTATACGTTTTCAACTTTAAAATGTTTCACCTTTCAGCCTCCACTTTCAACTTTTGATATTTTCAACTTTACAATGTTTCACCTTTCAGCTTCCACTTTCAACTTTTGACACTTTCAACTTTCTAATATTTTAACATTCAGCTTCCACTTTCAACTTTACATATTTCAACTTTACAATGTTTCAGCTTCAGCTTTCAAATTTGGACACTTTTCAAATTACAGTGTTTCACCTTTTAGCTTCAACTTTCAACTTTTGACACTTTTAACTTTGTAATGTTTCACCGTTCAGCCAAGGAATTCAGCAATTTTAAGCATTCTCTTTCAGCTCTCTGCATTCACACGCATTTTCCGCTAGGAAATGCACTTTCTAGTTATTAGTGTGAATGCAGAGGCATTCACACTATTGTTATCCTACGTATTTATTATTATTAGTGTGAATGCAGAGGCATTCACACTATTGTTATCCTACGTATTTATTAGTGTGAATGCAGATGCATTCACACTATTGTTATCCTACGTATTTATTATTATTTTTATTATTATTCCCGGTCGCTATCTACTCCCGCATACTTTGGCCTAGAAACACCATTCAAACGTCAAAATGTTCAGATTATTCAGGACATGTATGCTATTACTTGTCACTTTTCAAACTTTTATACTTTTTATAAAATTTAACTTTATTTAAAATATTTTTTACCATTGAAATGAATGGGAAACACTTCAAATCTCTTTCAATCTTCAGCTTTTTTTCAACCTTCATATCTTCAGCATACTTTCAGCTAGAGCAATCATTCAAATTTTAAACAATTCAACACATTTTCAGCTTTTAAAATATGTTTTCAGCTTTTTTATATCTTTTACAGATTTTTATAAATCACAGTTTAAGTTTAATGAAGAATTTGGATTTTGACCTAATTCTGCTCCACTCTAGCTTCCACTCTAATTTTTCACATCTCAAAGTTCTTCATCAATTCCTCTCTCCTAAACTAAACTTTACCCTTTATGCACAAAATTTATATTAAAGTAGTAGAGAAATTTGTCCTCATTCCAAAGATGCAGTTGTTTCTTTCATATGACCTACGGTTTTTAAACTAGGAAGGCTAAACCTTAACGAGGGAAGAAAATTGCTCCATTAAGATCAATGCATTTCACCCAAAAAATAATGCTTGAAGGTTTTAAATTAAGGCTTTTTCTAACTCGCCATAACTAATAGAATTTTCCACATATCTTGAAATTTTTTACAATATAATCTTCATTAAGGCCTTCTGCTTCTCACAAAGAAAGAATCATCTCGATATGTCTTACGGTTCTTCTGTAATGTTTGTTTGTTTGAGGCATGGTCAACATCTGAGAAATGTCTCCTCGATTCAAAAAGTGGCAGTTGGAGGCAGCTGTTAATCAACTAATTTGAATAACGTAATTTGATTGGCTTAGCCTTCTCATAGACTCACAATGGGCCATAGAGATGCATTGCTGCCATTCATTTCAATGGGGCAATTGATTCCCATACGATCCTATTGTAAAATAGCTTTTGTAATAGGTTCACAATGGAGAGTCATAGCAACATTAAGGATGCATATAACTAATCCAGCCAATCATTGCTTATGATTTAACATTAATTCATCAAGCCACACCCACTTTTCAACATTATTTTTGAATGTCAAATATCTTCTAAGTGGAACATCGTAGAAACATGGGAGTTGTTTTATATTGATCTAAGTTGAATGTAGATTAAACATGATGTCACCAACTCATCTATAGCAACCAAATTATTTACCATAGCAACCAAATTGACACTTCTCTATCTCAGCCTAGGAAAATGCCAGAGACACAGGAGTTGGTCTAATTGACTTGTAGTCACACAGGGAACATTATATAATATCAATGACCCCTCCATAGCAACCATAATGGTTACCATAGCAACCTGGTTGACACATCTCTATCTCAGCTTAGGAAAATGCTAGAGACATGGGGGTGAGTTTGTTTCACTAATAGCGACCCCGGAACATTATATAATGTCACTGACCCCTCCATAGCAACCATACTGGTTACTATAGCAACCAAATTGACATCTCTCCCTCAGCTTAGAAAAGTGCTAGAGACACGGGAGTTGGTCTAAATGACTTGTAGTCACACAGGGAACACTATATAATGTCACTGACCCCTCCATAGCAACCATACTGGTTACCATAGCAACCAAATTGACACATTTCTATATCAGTTTAGGAAAATGAGAGAGACACGGGAGTTGGTCTAAATGACTTGTAGTCACACAGGGAACATTAAATAATGTCAATGACCCCTCCATAGCAACCACACTGGTTACCATAGCAACCAAATTGACACATCTCTATCTCAGCTTAGGAAAATGCTAGAGACACGGGAGTTGGTCTAAAAATGACTTGTAGTAACACAGGGAACACTATATAATGTCACTGATCCCTCCATAGCAACCATACTGGTTACCATAGCAACCCAGTTGACACATCTCTATCTCAGCTTTGGAAAATGAGAGAGACACGGGAGTTGGTCTAAATGACTTGTAGTCACACAGGGAACATTATGTAATGTCACTGACCCCTCCATAGCAACCATACTAGTTACCATAGCAACCAAATTGACACTTCTCTATCTCAGCCTAGGAAAATGCCAGAGACACAGGAGTTGGTCTAATTGACTTGTAATCACACAGGGAACATTATATAATATCAATGACCCCTCCATAGCAACCATACTGGTTACCATAGCAACCAAATTGACACATCTCTATCTCAGCTTAGGAAAATGCATGAGACACGGAGTTGGTCTAAATGACTTGTAGTCACACAGGGAACATTATATAATGTCACTGACCCCTCCATAGCAACCATACTGGTTACCATAGCAACCAAATTGACACATCTCTATCTAAGCTTAGGAAAATGAGAGAGACACGGGAGTTGGTCTAAATGACTTGTAGTCACACAGGGAACATTATATAATGTCACTTACCCCTCCATAGCAACCATACTGGTTACCATAGCAACCAAATTGACACACCTCTATCTCAGCTTAGGAAAATGAGAGAGACACGGGAGTTGGTCTAAATGACTTGTAGTCACACAGGGAACATCATATAATGTCACATGACCCCTCCGTAGCAACCATACTAGTTACCATAGCAACCAAATTGACACATCTCTATCTCAGTTTAGGAAAATGCTAGAGACACGGGAGTTGGTCTAAATGACTTGTGGTAACACAGGGAACATTATATAATGTCACTGACCCCTCCATAGCAACCATACTGGTTACCATAGCAACCAAATTGAGACATCTCTATTTCTGCTTTGGAAAATGAGAGAGACATGGGAGTTGGTCTAAATGACTTGTAGTAACACAGGGAACATTATATAATGTCACTGACCCCTCCATAGCAACCATACTGGTTACCATAGCAACCAAAATGGCACATCTCTATCTCAGCTTAGGAAAATGAGAGAGACACGGGAGTTGGTCTAAATGGCTTGTAGTCACACAGGGAACATTATATAATGTCAATGACCCCTCCATAGCAACCATACCGGTTACCATAGCAACCAAATTGACACATCTCTATCTCAGCTTAGGAAAATGAGAGAGACACGGGAGTTGGTCTAAATGACTTGTAGTCACACGAGGAACATTATATACCGTCACATACCCCTCCATAGCAACCATTCTGGTTACCATAGCAACCAAATTAACACATCTCTATCTCAGCTTAGGAAAATGAGAGAGGCACGGGAGTTGGTCTAAATGACTTTTAGTCACACAGGGAACATTATATAATGTCACTGACCCCTCCATAGCAACCATACTGGTTACCATAGCAACCAAATGGACACATCTCTATCTCAGCTTAGGAAAATGAGAGAGACACAGGAGATGGTCTGAATGACTTGAAGTCACACAGGGAACATTATATAATGTCACTGACCCTCCATAGAAACCATACTGGTTACCATGGCAACCAAATTGACACATCTCTATCTCAGCTTAGGAAAATGCTAAAGACATGGGGGTTGGTGTAATTTTCTTGTAGTCACACAGAGATCAACATATAATGTCAATGATCCTCCATAGCAACCATATTGGTTACCATAGCAACCAAAGTGGCATATCTCTATATCAGCTTTGGAAAATGCTATAGACATGGGGGTTGTTTTGTTTGACTCATAGTGACACAGGAAACATTAGATAATGTCAATGACATCTCCATAGCAACCATAATAGTTATCATAGCAACCCAATTGGCATATCTCTAACTCAGCTCAGGGAAATGCTAGAGACATGGGGGTTGATTCATTTCCCTCAGAGTGACACTGGGAACATTCTATTATGTAAATGACCTGTCCAGAGCAACCAGAAATTTTACCATAGCAACGCAATTGGCATATCTTTATCTTA